GTGGAAGCTTCTGGTGAGTGTTTACAGTGAAATACATACATATATACATATATATATATATATAAAGCTGTATAAACTATGTCAAAACCACATCAACTTAAAGATGCATTAGTTTAAGACACATTGATTAGATATAATTATGCCTAAGCCATCAATACTGCCACAACATGATCATTCACTACAGGATAAGTATAAACTTCAGTTTGTATTTAATTTTTGTAACAACAAAATATGTGAAGAAATGAGGTGGTAATGACAACACAGGGATCATAGATTTCAAAGAATGCCTCCAAGATGGCAAACTGTTACTTTTGTGATGACTATGGCAGGACTGATTAAAAAGGGGAAAAGATGGCCATTAACAACCTCTTTTATACAGTGGTATGAATAAGACTAACTTGTATTAGCTATTACTACTGGTCAATGAAGTAATTTGAAGCTTAGTTTGGCATAATACACACAAATATACATGTTCTATTTTTATTAATTACTGCAATATTTTATACACTGAACTGAAATCCTGTCATCTGACTAGACATCCTTCCCTTACCCAATCTGCACCCGCAGCCTCAGAAGGAACTTCATTTCTAAGGAAAAAAAAAAAACCACAAAATAGAAACATAATTCGCAATATTTTAATCAGTTAATACACATCTACTTTTCATTTCTCCTTCTATGAACAGTGGTCCTTTCTTTAAGTCCACTTCCTCACAAAGTTAATGTAGATTTAGTGTAGAAAAACTCTTTAATATTTAAAAGCAACTTAACTTCACAGACTGTCACCACCAACTAACATGCAACTGCCATGATGAAGGTAATGATTTTATTTATCTATCCTGTTTCTACCTGAATGACTTTAAAATTACTCATTCATATACTAACCAATACCAGCTCAATTGATTTTCATCTGGGCCACAGCACTGATATTTTCAAGACCAAGTCCAAGACTTATATTAGTGTAACAAAATAATACTATTAACTATAATTATTAGTTACTAATAACTGTGTACCTATGCAAGTGTATTACAAATGAATGTGATGGTGGTAAAATAGAAAGGAAACAAAAGCCTGAGTACCACAAGACAAGGTGAGATTAACTTCTAAAGCCTATACTCTTTGGGAAAAATAGCTGACTCAAGCAGTTCCAGCAAATGGTTATTATATAAAAGGCTAGAAAAGCTATCAAAACTGGAAAATATATGCTTGTTTCAAAAGAGCATAGTTTGAACAGTCAGTTTGAAATACACATTAGTTATATACTTATGTTGCTGACAACATTTCTTAGTGTAGAACCAAATGACCACGCTGCAAGGGGAATGCAGTAATATATTGCTGGTTCCTTTGGCTTCACATGTTAACATCACATTTCCTCTTTCAGCCACATACAATCTAAGGTTATATTGATTCTGATTTCTAAGTTCTGTTCTTCGGTCAGACACCACTAAACACAATACAGATCCTTCCTATAATACAACAGAAACCCCATTTTGTGCAGCATTAGAGACAACTCCCATCTCTGGCTCCTGTAATCTGACATGCCACTGTATGAATGTCTAGAGTGAGGGGAGTTCACCCATCTTGACAACATAAACAATCTACAGGTTACTCTCTGGCAGAAATTTCAGACCAAAGTTTTTTTTAAAATCTGACCAGTCACTAAATGATCAGCAAGATCTTCATCAACTAGATCAAAAAGCTATTGCTCATAAACTACCATTCCTAGAAATAGTCTATGTTATCATTAAAAGCAACTTAGAAGAGTGCATACAACTCTGGAAGCTTAACCAGAGTGAGCATTTCATCAGGAGAGAGAATGATGGTTATTCTAAGGTACCTGTAAAAGATGACATAGGAATGGAATGAAAGAAGCCACTAGGAAAAAAAAAATCTAGAAAATAACAAGTGAGGACTGGAACAATAAATGAAAGGGTGGGAGTTATTCTCAATTCCAGCTAACAAAGAAACAAACCACTGGCTAGCATTTTTCTGGTGTTTTTCTAAAAAGCCATCAATCCTTCCATTAATATACACGCACCATCACAATACCTCTGTGTCCTTACAGAACTGTAAATCCGAGGATTACTCATGTACTGCTCCCCTCTCCTCTCATCCATATACACTATTACTTTCATTCCAGTACGCCTCCAAAGGACGTTGTAATAAATAATACATAAGCAATCAGACCATACTGTATTTTTTCTCTCAAGCTAGAGACAGAGAATAGGACTATTTAATGGAGCTCTTGTGCACTAATAAATTATTTATGTACGAAGGTTTCAATGACCTTAGTTTTGTGTGCTACTAGAACAAAAAAAAAATAGCATTTTAAACTTTTATTTTGTCCTAAATTGGAGAAATAATGCTACTGTATTATCTGGCTATATCTCTGCTTGGTCAGATTGCTGTTTATCTGTTCCTGCCTACATGGAGAGACAAAACAATTCGTTAAATAATAGGAATTAAACAATAGGTTATGCTTTCGTTATATAATGAAGATTAATTCAAGGAACTTGATCTGTAACTAGTATTTTTCCATTCACAAATGAAAAATCAGAAGTTCACTGATTCAGTGAATCAGTTATAGGGGTAAGAGTCAAAAAATCCAAGCCTCTCAAAAGAGTCATGTAAATCCTAGATCAGTTATTAGTCATTTTTGTTTAAAGTTATTACTGCTCCTGCAAATATTAAAAGGAAGACACAATACCTCAGACTACTATTTGCCTAAATGATAAAAGTAAGTATTCTCTGGACATGCATGGATCAACATGTAAAGAAGAGGAGGCAGGTTGTGAAAACTGAAAGGCTGCAATCTGTACTTTCTGTATGTTTACAAAAAGTTAAACAGAACTCCTTTAAAAAGTTATTTATAAAATGTTGTTGCCTATAGTAAATCAAAATTTGTTTGAAAAACAAGTTTGAAAAACAAGTTTGAAAAACAAGATGATATTTCAGTAGACTACTCCAGCTAGGAAATGTATTTTGAAATTTTTAAATTCTGAAGAATTGTTAGGTGTTCTGCAGACATCACAGGGTAAAATATCATATTCATACATTAGATGTAAACCATGAAAGACTGCTTTGTTAGTAAGTATTTCCACGTATGCTACATGTCTGAAAAATACATTTGTAACAAACTAGTAGGACTGTTGAGGCAGAATCCGTGACAGAAACATGTCCTCCCTGTTGGCATGGAAAACAGAACTGTTACTCAAGAGTCAATACATACTATTTGCAGAATTAATCTGAAAAAGAGCACTGCTGTAGCTGTTAATCTATAACTCCCTTTATCCTCTTGCTGTATTCCTTTTCACTTTTATTTCAGTGGAAATAAAAAAAGAAAGGTCCTAGTATGACAACTTATAACCATGCAGACACTTTATGCCCCATAAACTTCACCCAATAACACATTTTCATAAATTGTCCTTGGTGTCAGTTGCTGTCTCTGTAAATATAGTGTAAGAAATGCTTCAGTAATTCACAATAAAAAAAACAGTTGCTGAAAGAGGACTGAAAGAGGTTTTTCACCTGCTGGGTTAGAAGAATAACTGCATGAGATGCAACATCAAAATTAGTTCTCATTTTCTAACAGCCTATCTAATAGCATATACAACTGCATAGACTTTAAACAGTGGAATCAATCTGAGCCGCACTATTTTTCATCTTCCCAAGGGTGCTTGCTTTAATTAGATCCTCAGACCTTTATATTCCTATTGCACAGCAATGACAAAGTAAAATGTCTGTAGTCCCTCTGTACCGTGCATCAAAATCATAGAAAAGTAATGAAAACACTAGCTATTGCTAGCTGTATCTTCATAATACACCATCTAGTGTCTAACACAGTACTGTAGAAAAAAATCTGCAAAATCCAAATCTGACTAATACCATTATTTGAAAGTTAAAATCAACTTTAAAATAAACTCTCATATTAACAATATTTGACTTCTTATGTAACATACTTTCAACTTGTTTATTGTAAAAACATTTGTCCATGTAAAAAGGAAACTATAGTAACTCAAGCTTTACATACCCATTACTACTTATTACAATTTTTGGCTGAAGACATCATCTTTAAAATTAACGTATCAGGTGATAATTTTTTCAAGACAGATAATGAAAGCAAAGATTCAGTCAAGGTGACAATTACCATCTGGCTCGCTACAGTAATTATGGGCTCCCAATTCAATGCACATGCAACATTATAACATTAGCATTACAGCTTGTGTTAATAATGAAAATCCCATTTGTCTATTACTAGAGGCATTAAAGTTATTTATATGACTGTCTGCTTTGAAGTCTGTTAACATAGAACATATAGATCATCATTAATAAATCTGTATTAACACTCTCTGCAAGTTAAAGTCCTTTCTACTGCCTCTTCATACGTGGATGCTGCCATTTACACTTCAGTCTTTCCTCCACACCCTTCTCTTCCCTTTTTTGGGATTGAGTACTTGTGTGAACGCTTACTGGGAATACAACTGAGGACAGAATTAAAATCAATTTAGACTTGCACTCTCACAGGTACTAACAAGTTACAAGTTACATAAAGGATACAGAACACTGCTCATGAGGATGAATATAGAACCAACCACACCTCAAAAACTGTTAAAAAAGCACTGTAACATCTGAACAGTTAGTCCTACTCCTATGAATATATTTATAAAGCCATAAGAAAACCAAGAGCAATGTACTGTTCAATTCTTTTTATAAGATTTGAGTCTTGTGAAATTTAATTTTCAAGTTACTGAAGTTCAAAGCAGCACAATTGCTTACAAACACATTCAACTAAACATATTCAGAAAATACCTTCAAAACAAACTTGTAAAATTTTCACGTTTTGACTCCCAAGGGACTATTTTACCTTGTGAACAAAAGCAGATAGAAGCAGAATCTTTGCCACCAAATTAAATGGAAGCAGGACAGGATACCATACAGAAATTAATACCTAGCTCCTGTAGGAACAATGTTACACTTAAAAGACAACATTAAAGTATTATTACCTCCAGCAAGGATCTTCTCTTCCAAATCACTCATTTGCTTCTTGTACGCTTTTAAAGCAGCTTCTTTAAATGATGGTCGTATTCTTTTTTTCTTTGGAGTTTCAGTAAGCATCTCTGGGACATTCTGATTTTCATCTTCCTTTATTTCTATGTCAGCAGCCATATGACTTTCAGCTTCCACTATCTCTTCACTGACCACACCATCAAATTGTGCATCATATTGTGCCTCTGGCACTACTGCATATGCTGTGTCATATGAAGGCTGGCCCAGTTCATATTCTTGGACCTGCTCACTAGTTTCACTACTATTAGTTCTATTTTCTAGCTTAGCAAGGACTTGTTCCATTACTTCTACATAGTCAGTTTCACTCTCACCAGGTGGTTCAATTAAGTCTTCCTCATACTCTGCTTTGTAGCAATAAGGCTCAGCATAAACATCAGAATCAAGCGTTGTACTTGATTCATTTGCAGTAGACTGAGATAAAGTTCTAAACCTCCCCATGAAAGACGATCCACTGTCATCATACCCACTTAAACTTTGTGTGCTTTTATTCCAGACTACTTCTAAAGCTGATTTAGCACGCTGGAGTGTGGATCCAAATTTAGGAAAGCTGAAAGTCTTATCAGAAAGATCTATGCTTAATCGGCTATGCCATGATTTAGGGGCTGTTTCTTCCGAGTCATCACTTGGTAGTTCACTCTGACTTCGGTACATCATAGGCAATCTGTTTTGATTCTGATAAGAGGAGATAGAATATGTTTCTTGATAATCATCATATTGACCTGTCCACTGACTTTGTGATTCACTATCAAGGCCTGGACATGATGGAGAAGTACCATCAAGTGTAAAATCATAGCTTTCAGTATCATACTGGAGGTCAGAACTTTGGCACTTTCCAAAATCAGTCTGTTGATCTGAAGGGCTGCTCATATCATACACAAAAACTTCCTGTGTGGATGAGTCTAGCCCCAAACCTGCCCCTTGTTCCAACTGATTCCAGTCTTTCCATGGGGAAAGATCATCATGTAAAGAAAGCTGAGAATCACTATAGCGGCTTCTGTCTCCAGCTGCACATATTATTCCATTGCTTACTCCACTGTCAACAGTTTCCATGTTCTCTGCTTCATTCTGTTCTGGATACTGTTGCATGTCTTGGACAAAAGTCTGTTCCTGGGAACTTCCATACCAGTTTGTGGGATCATCTTGTCTTCGCTGCCAAAGTTCTCGATCGGAGGAAGACAACAGTGAACTGCCATTTGTTCTGCTGAAATACTGATTTTCTGAAAAATCCTCAGAGTAAGATTGACACAATTTTGAGAAGTCTGACTCTGAACGGCTAAGTTTTGGTGTTGCAAAATCATTCTGTAAATGCCATAGAGGAGTCATGTCCGAGTAATAGGTCTTTGACTGTTTTTCCATTTTGTCAAATTCCGGTGACTGATTGCTGTAAGTTCTTCTGTTCGAAAAGGTGCTATTGTCAGCAGTTGTATTAAGGTCTTTAGTATTTGAGGACTTGATACTCCCCTTTGTAGTGCTTTTTTTAATTTGAAGTGCTGATTTAGATATCTTTGCATAACTGTTCCTATTTATATCTGATTCCAAGTCTTTATCACTGTCAGGTGACTCCCAGTCACGCATTTTACTTTTTGTCTCCACAGTTAAAAGCTTCATATCCATACTCTCATATGTCTGAGAAGAAGGTAGTCCTCTTTCTTTTTTGTCTTTTATATCATGGGTAAATATATCTGTAGAAATTCCAATGCCAGTTCCCTTAAGCTTATAAGACTTTTTTAATATCAAATCCCTCTGTTGTGAGGACTCAAAGTAAACAAGAATGGGTCTTGGCTTTGCATTTGGACAGTCTCTTTGTTGCCCCAGTCTTTGGGCGAATTCAATTTTAATAGTGCTCTGTGCCTCAGAGAACCCCATTTTATCTATCAATATTTTGTAAACTGTGCTTTCGGTTTTTTCAGGCCTCTCTTCAGGCACATTTAGAAACCGAAGACTTGCTTTGTTTCCTGGATGGCCTATCTGCTTAATGTAGTCATGTATGTCCCGAGTTTCTCTTCTGGACTGTACAAATCCAGTTCGCAATTGTTCAATTTCATTTTGTACAACTTCTACACTACTAGAAATTTCATCAATTGATTGTTTCAGAGCATTAACATGCCCCCTTAATTCAGAGAGTTCTGTTTCAATTTGACTTATTCCCTGAAGCTCTTTAAAAATCATTTCCATAACATCATGGGTTTGACTAATACAACCTGTCGAACTAAAGCCAGGTTCAAGAGTATTTGATTTCTGGTGACGACCAGTTCTGTCTAGAGATTTACTTCTCAAGCCCCATGTTTTCTTCCATGTACTTAGTTCTGAGTCTGATGAGACACATTCTTGGCTCTTCTTCCATTTCCTTAGTTTTCGCAAAGCTCCCAGTTTCAGTGTGTGTAAAGTGCGTTCTCCATCAGAACTTCCATCAGATGGTGCAAGGCTGCTTAAGCTTTTTCTGTTGCGTCTCACAGGCATCGTGTGGGATAAGTGTTCGTTTTTCTTGCTATTACTTTTTACTTCACTTAATGACTCAGAATATGAACTATCATTTGACGACAAATCTTGAACTATATCTTCATCATTACTGTTTGTGACAAAAATATGCTTTTGCAGTCCATTGGCAATAGCAACTCTATAACTGAATGTTGGAGAAAGTGAAAATTCTTTATTACTTTCCTCTTCTTCAGCTGATAAGTTGCGAGAAGATGGGCACTTTGCAATCTTTTTAACAGTGCTTTTTAAAGTATTTGAAAATTTTGGATTTTTTGTTTGTCCAATTTGAGTTAAGTCTTGTTCCTTTTTGCTCTGACAACTTTCTTTCCTTTTTGTACTATTTCCCGATTTCTTTGTAAACATTCCTTTGCAAATCTTATATATGTAAGGTGAGATCAGGCTCTTTAAGAAAGCAGAAAAAGCAGAAACCATGGAGTGTGATTTATGTCAAGCTGTTTCCACAACACACAATTTTTGTTCCAGACAAGTATTTGTATCTCCTCCAACAGGATCATCAGCAAATATGTCATCAACAGAGAATATAGACAAATAAACTACTGATGCTCTAGTATCTGGTATTTGAGAGGTGTGGGGGGGGGGAAATTAAAAAAAAAAAAAAAAAAAAAAATCACACTTCTGCTTGTTTGAGACCAAGTCCTGAAGAGGTTTTGTATGTCTTCCAAAATCTCTCTCTGTTGAGCATGGCCTCTTGAGGTGTCTAAAAAGGAGGGAATGACATTACAATGGCTGCCAAATGAACTTATCATTCAATAATAGTGCTCTTTTTTATTTGACTGGGTTACAACAGAAACAGAGTAGTAATGTATTTATTTGTTTTCCTCATAATGGTCTGAATGGAATTTTTCATGAACAATATAAGCTGAAAGCAGTCCTAGGCAAATATTTTTAACATAAATTAATAAACTATGCTTATTTACAGGCTTCTTTGTCCAGTTTAATTCTCTGACTTTAACTGAGATATTTGGTATTAATGGTGTTTGCATTCTTTCAGAGTAATGACATTTCAGTTTAGATCCATATGAATCATAATGACAACTAATAGGGTATCCTCATCAAGGTTACTAAGTTTTACATTGTTCTGGTCACAGCAATAACAAAAACAAAAACCCTACAACCAATTCTACAGAAAACAAGAGGAAGAGGAAGAAAAAAATATCATTTACAAGTCTCAGGACAAAACCATTACATCAGGAAAGCAATTTGATCAAAAATATGGAAGAGTAAGAAGAGATTTCATGAGGTATCTGTAAGGTGAATGCTTTTTAAACATATAAATATACTCTTCTGTAAGCATACACCTTCCAGTCTCATACCTGCAGAATAAAGTGAAGACAAATAGCTCAGAAAAATCCAGCAAAGTAGTAGTTCCTAAGAGGCCATTTCAGTTTCTAAACCAGCTAAAAATTCTTTGGCAGAATAAGAAGTTTATTTAGGTACAGGCTATAAGAAGGGTTAAAACTTGCTCTGTAGTGTCTTAAGAGAAGTAAAGGATATGAACTGTCATCCTTGTCTGCAAAAAGGATGACACTGCATCAACCATTATGGCCTACTCACAAACCTCAAGATCTTGTCTTTTCGTGACAGAGTTGGTCGTCACTGACCTTACTATTATACTCATGTTATGATCAATGATAAACACTAACTAATGATCCATACTGCAGCAGCAAAATGCACACTGTGTTGAATAGAGCCCAGGCAAAGCTCGTAAAAACCTGGCTGGCCTCTGGAACCCTAGAACAGAGGAAATAAACAGACTTCTTTTCCAATTGAAAAAAAAATGAGACAAAGCCCAAGAGTGAGCACAACACTAATAGACAACATTCTTCATCCTTCCCAAAGCTGCTGCTTGCTGTTTTGTAAAAGGTGAAATATTTGTGGAAAATTAATCCCATTTTTAACATATATACATCAGCATGACTTCTTTTTGTTCCAGGATTATGCCTGAAGTCAGAGCATTAAGAGTGAATTAAGATCAAGCAGTGTTTGGAAGCAAAAGCCTGCTCAGTGAGACTGCATGCAATTTTCAAGGCATGCAAATAGCATCTCACAATATTACAAAGCTCTCACTAGAGCCAAGGCAGTCTTGCTTTTGCATATTATTAGTAAGGAAAGAACCATCCTGGGACACTTCTCAAAGCTGGGTTTCTAGGTATAGAAGCACTTGTTAACAGTTCAGCTCTTACCTTGACTGTTTGTAACCATCTATCGAACAAGATTTGAAGTGTGACTGTCTCCTCTGCTCACACAACTACAACTTTGAGCACCCTCTTTACATAGACTTCACTCAGATGAATTGGACATTCTTCTCATTAAGCAGACTTCAAACCAACAATGTATAATCAAGCTAAAAGGGTTGCTTATTGGCTCAGCCTACAGAACACCAAGAAATCATGAAGTTATCACTGGAATCTGGAACATCTCCATTAGTTCTAAATAAGCTTTAATTCTTTGTAGAAGTATCTTGATTTCATTATCAGCCATATATATTTTAGCTAATGCCTAATGTGTGCTTTTTACCAGAGATAAATTAAAGAACTAAAAATCACTGCAAATTCAATACTCAATTTGTTTAAACCCAGTTTCTGACAATGTTACAGTAAATCCGAAGTTCTACTGTTACAAACACAGAGAGATCTGCTAAATGGAGCAGATTTATGTTCTCTCATGCGAGTCCCACTATCTCAGCTGTATCAGTCATACGATCTGTTCATCAGTTTAGCCTACCATTGCTGTCAAATACTAATTTTCTAAAACTGTGTATCTACACATGGAATCATTTGAGTCATTATAGGTCTCATCCGTTTGTTCCTTTAAATATTTGCAATTTTAAATCAGTGTAGGTCAAAAGTCTAGGAGGTCACAGTCTGGGGAGAAGCACATAGGACTGTCAATTATTTGAATGAGCAGCAGCTTGCCATCAAATGACTTTCAGATTTTATCCAGGTCTCACAATAAACCATCAGACCCCATTTTTTATTTTTGCTTTGCTTGTTTATTCACTTATATCAATTTATATGATAAAGTTGAACACAGCTGGATGGTTAACTTTACTCTAGATGGTTATAGAAACTGGAAGGTGTTAATGGGTTCCTTCTGTAAAGAAAGGACACAATGACACTACCTTCAACTTTTTACCCACAGCAAGTCTGAATATAGACTTATGTTAATCAACCTGATGGCAAAGAGGTAATTTATATTATTTCATGGATACTGTTGATAACAAAGCATTGTCAAATCGTAACTTGACAGTTGGAAGAATCACTTATCAAGGATCTTACTCCCAAATAAAAAATTAATGTGTCAGGTAGAAGAAGGGAGAGAGTGGGCCAGGTTAAGAATGACAGCTTTTTAAATAACATGAGCAGTGTATTTTAGTTACATCCAGATCCTCACAGATTCCCTTTTCATTTTTTTCTTATTTTATCAAAACCATCCCTCTATTTTTATAAAGAAAGAAAATGGAATCATATTAAAAAAACACTTTCAGTGTTTAAAAAGAACTGCTAGATCACTGCTGATCTCCTGTTTGGATCCTAGCAAATGAAGCGGTAGAACAGCAGCCCTCTCCAATCAGAGGTAACTTTGTGGATACACTGTTACCTCAAAAAAAGTAAGAAATAGGCATAGCCATAGCCCTGCTTGTCCTTTACACTGTTAATTAACTACAAGAGGTCTGTGTGTATTCAAAGGGGACAGGGAACTGCAGTCTCCCTCTGTAAAAAGGCACACAGCAGTTTGTGTTCACAACACCAAAACAGTAGGGGGAAATAAAAACAAACTGAAAAGTCTTTTTTTTTCTGCAGCAATATCACTCTGCATTACTGCCAAAGTAGTCACTGATGCCTATAGACAGCAACATCTATTTGTGATACGTAAAATGCTTCACAGAAATTAATTCATCATACATGACAAACAATGTGAACAATCCACTCTGCAGCCACAGAAACTGTGGCTAAGAGAACAATTCAGCCATCAGGAACATAAGGAATCAATAAGAGAATAACTAGAATTCAGATCTACAGATTTCTCAAGCATAGTCTTTTAATAGTCTCCCAGTCCCCTGGCAATAAGGTTATCCTGAGGTAACCGCCTTTACCGTCAGTGTATGTCTGTTGGGTAAAACCTATGCTACCTTTGACACATGCATAACTCTGCATACTCCAGATTGCTTCATTAGGTTAAGTGTAAGAGTGACATTGTACTGACAACCATCTCAGATGACCTAACTCAGAAGAACTTAATCTGGAACAATTTGCTGCTCCTTTATACTCTTAAATTCTCCTTATATTCTTAAATACTGACTTTTTGTCTGTTACCAGTGAGTCTCTCAAGGTAAAGTTAACCTAGTCCTTTTTCCCCCTTTTGCAGCTGTATATATGATGTGTACTGTCCTACATAAATTTATTTTTAGTCAATACACTCACTTTAAAAGCTGTTAAGATTTAGAGATAATTCCAGTTAATAGTCCATTCTTATTTAAATGCAGACTATAAAAGGAATGGAAGACGTAGAGAGGAAAAAGTTATTTGCTGACAACATGAGGATAATTGTATTACAAAGCCAGTACCAGGCATATTAGCTTTGAAGTGTGAGTTAGACTATTAAATGCATGCTATTATGGCAGATTAACAAAAATATACAGATTTATAGTACAGAGTCCAGCATAATCAGAACCTATTTAAAACCTTTAAAAAATAGAAAGTATCGACATGCATTTAATCAAATATCAGCTCTGTCCTTAATTTTTCTGGTTTTTTTTAATGTTTTCTTCAGAGCATTACACCTTGAGAGCCCAAGTGACTTAATTTATACTGAAACGTAACACATATGCAGAGAATATGTTTACTGTATACTGAGTGTACACTCAAAATCTCATATAATACTAACGTGTCAAACTTTTCAGAAACTTCAAACAATCTCTGTAGGAACAGGCTGCCCAGGGAAGTGGAGGAGTCACCACCCCTGGAGGTACTTAGAAGACATGTAGATGTAGTGCCTGGGACATGGTTTAGTGGTGTCCTGACAGTGCTGAGCTTATGGTTGGACTTGCTGATCTTGAGGGTCTCTTCCAACCAAAACAATTCTACGATTCTATAATAATTTCATCACAAAATATTTTTTAAATCCCTCAATTTTCTTCTGAGTATAGAATTTCAACCCTCTAATTGTACTGGCCTGAGCCCTGGGATGGGCAATTCTCTGCTCTGAATTAGATCTCCTTTGGACAGACACCTCCATGGCCTGTGACCATGTGTGCACTACATCGCTCTATATAACAGAGATTACTTTAGAAAGCTGTGGTTTTGTTTGATTTTATTTTTCAGGACTTTTTTTTTTTTTTTATGATAGTTGTAAAAATTCTGTGAAACGTTTAGATTAAGAGAACAACTTCAAATTAGCAAAATATTACTTGTAAGCCCTTTAGATTCTATCCTTTCCCTGCAATAAGGTTTTAAATATTTTCTCAAGTGTAGTTAACTAACAATTCCATTAAATTTTTAGAACACAAAAGTATGAAATGGTTAATTTTTGTTAAAGAGGTCTTT